GGCAATCCTCAAATAAAAAGACCAAGAAAATAGAAGACCGAACCCGACAAAAAACACCGGAAGTTTACCCGAGGAGAACTGAATTATTTGTAAGTGAAAAATGCCAAAAAATCAGTGAGGCTCCACGCATAACTTCCGTTATTAAAATGAAAAAGAAAGTATGGCCGGAAAATAAAATAATTTAATCAATCAGAAAAAAATTGTTCGCAGAGACACATTTTGATCATTTTGACATTTTGATCATTAGGTGACACCAAATTTGCCGCCAAACTCTGAGTCTATTCAAAGTATATAAAAACCTGACACCTAAAAACCAAAAGTAGCAGCGGGCACCAGAGAAGGACCCCAGGAGAGAACGGAACAAAATGTCGCTGCCATGTGTGACTTGTGAATAAGCAGTTAAGCGCTACTGCCATTTCCTCCTCGTTTCTGGACCGAGAAGAACACAGATTGACACCGACCTTATTTTTGAGATTACTAGTATCCCTACCATGCTCTTACTTTACAACGACCACAAGCGGGCATTTCACCAGATTGCTATCAATATCCGCCTTATTAACGAGCTCTTGGCTTTGCCGAATAACAAAGTGCTCACTCGTCTCTAAAGAAAATAGGGGTCTAATCAGAGATAGTTACAAATTTTCTGAATATTAAAAATCACACTGATTTCCAGTGTGCTTTCAAGTCGAAACATCTGTCATGATGAATGACTTCTCCGTTTGTCGACTATCAACCGTTCCCAGCTTCATATGTAAAACTTTGGAAACGTATCCATTTCGTAAAATACATCTATTGGATGCTTTAGTACACATTATCAGTGATGTTTCTAGTCGAGGTTCATTAGGGGTTTCGGGTCTGACTCAGCAGATACTGATCGGGTAAAGACTTGTGTACCTTCTGTCAACCGTTTCCATCTTCATATTTTAACATTTGGAAATGCCTCCAATTGCATCTAAAGATTTTACCATCTCGACAGTTAATGTTAAAGAACTTGTGAAAAAAAGAACGAAACAGGAATTATTGGCTCGTGATGTTGTATCAAAGAAATTGAGATGATTATCTGAGATAGACAACAGAAGATAATATCAAAGTAGGACATTAGAAAGTAGTAGCTATTATTGAAATGGTTTTGTCATCATTACGAAATGGAAGAATCCACAGACACTGGAATGTCTTAGGCAGAATAACAACTTTGCAGCACAGGACAGATTGGAAGGAATTTAGACGGAAGGCATGAGTCTGAAAATATACAGAAGAAAAATTAATATTAAGTGAAATGAAAAACTCGAGCAGCCATCTTATATTAATTATCACAAAAACTGTCTATAATATTTCAGCAATCCGCTTAAAAATAAAACAATGAAGAACTTGGAAGACCTGCAACATATTCGTAAATAAGGAAATGAAAACAAAGAGAGATTCAGGGGACTGATCAGAGATAGATGTACAGTTGCCAAAAGATTAGAAATCACACTGATTTATAATGTATATTCAAGTTGAAAAGGCTTTCATCATAACTGACCTCTTCGTTTGTCAATTATCAACCGTTTTCATCTTCATATTTTAAAATTTGGAAATGCCTTCAGTTGCATATAACGATGTTACCATCACGAAAATTAATGTTGGAGGACTTGTGAAAAAAAGAAAATTATTATAATTATCAGGAATTATTGATTCGGGACGTTGATAGTTATAATATTGATCTATTCGATCTCCAAGAACTCAAAATCAGAAAACGATTTGACATTAATATCGAAGTGAGACAGTACAAAATAGTAGCTTTGGTAACAGAGAGTAAATATTATAGAAATGTTTTTTCTCACCAATACCAAATGGAAGAATAATATCCACATACATTGGAAAGTCTCAGACAGAATAACAGTTTTGAAGCACAAGACAAATTGGAAGGAATTTGAATGCATTTAGCTGGAAGGCATGAAACTAAATTATACCGTTGGATACCCCAATTTCAATTAATTTGCCTTGATAAGTTTTTTGTTCCCTCCACCTCTAAGTTTTTGATCTCTCTGCTGGAATTTAATATTAAGTGAAATGAATAAATCGAACAACCATCTTATCGATATTGAGCAACGACATGAAAAGAACTATCAAGATAATTCCAGTATTCCTCGTAAGACTCTAAAGAGATTAAAAGACTTGTAACTTTTTCGCTAGTTTGCAAAGACAGTGAGGTCTAAAGAAGTCTATTAAGGGTTATTTACAAAGTTGCTGAAGATGAGACATCGCATTGATTTTCAAGTCGAAACATCTCTCATAATGAATAACTGCTTCGGTTGTCAACCATTAAATGTTCGCAATTCGTATTTAAAACTTTGCAAATACATCCAATTGCATATGAAGATTTTACCATCTCGACAATTAATGTTAGAGGACCCGTGGAAAAAGAAAAACAGGAATTATTGGCTCGGGAGTTATAACCTTCATGTATATTGTCTCCAAGAAATCAAAATCAAAAAAGGAGTTGACATTAAAATCAAAGTGAGACAGTACAAAATAGTAGCTTTGGTAACAGTGAGTAAATATTATAGAAATGGTTTTCTTACCAATACCAAATAGAAGAATAACATCAACAGACTTTGGAAAGTCTCAGACAGAAT